GCAGAGAGGCATAGGGAAAGGACCCCCCGTGTGAGGGGAGTCACAGGAGGGAGAGACTGAGGCTGGCAGGCTCTCCAAGCTTGTGCTTGCCTTGGTCCCTTTTGGCTTTTCTCCCTGACAACCCCCCCCTTTGTTTTTTCCTTCTGTCCCCATGTGACACTCCATTTTCTTGTTTCAGTCAGTATGTATACATGATTTATTTTTCTTGGGTTGTCCAGCTACCTTCAGAATTATCTGCTCTGCCTCCTAGGAATAGAAACTTAATAGAGATGGATTGCAGCGACGCAGTTGCAGTTCATTTTTAGACTCCTGCCACAGGCTGATGTTAAACCTGAAACCGAGAGCTTGGACTCTGCCTGCTGTCCCCGAGAGCTACACAGATCAAACAGAAAAATGGCTCGGACGTAATCGTAGGAAAACTTGTGCTCTGCTGCAGCAGAATCTTTTTTATTTTTCAGCCCAGTATTGCTGTGTTGGGCTTGACAAGCTCATGTTAGTGAGAGAGGCTCAACCATTTAGACTTAGATGGTCCTGTAGTTTTTCATGTGTTTAATAGCTGTCTATTGACTGGATTTCTTTCTATACATTTTCTGGGTAGGAAAGCATGCTGTGATTGCATGAGCCAAGACTTTTTATAAATACTTTGTTGCAAACTTTGTAACATGCTTAGTAAATAACCCATTTAGTGCTATTAAGCTAAGCTGTGTCCTATTGTGGATGTGGGAGCAAGCAGGTTCCCTTTTAGGTGTGTGTGTGGGCATGTTTGTCCTGGTCGAGAAGGAAAAGGAGTGAGCAGATTTAGGTATGCTGGGTGGTTCTTCTGCAGGCTCTTTGTAAGGCACAGTCAGTTGTGGTACAGCTCTGGCCAAATGCTGCTTCATTCCCTGATCCAGACGACTTTGCAATGACGTGGACCCTGACTCTTAAAGGGGAAAACAGAGATAATGGGAGAAAGAGTACTGGTGTCTGCTTAAATACCTTTGCTCTTTCCCCAAGGGTATGTTAGGCTGCTCAAGATTAGCAGGAGAACCCTGTAGCATTCTTATAGTCCTGCTTGCATTCAGTCCATCGACCGGAAACTTGCCCAAGTGCTGGCTTGCTCTGTCCTGTGCGGATGGCAGACGTAGGGGTTGTACTTCTTTCCTACAGATTCTGAAATCTTGGGGGTGATTTCTGGGGTGACTGAAAGGTGATGTTTGACTTCTTGCTAGCCATCAGTGACCTCCCTTGAGAAAGAAATGATCTCGTCGTTGTCTGATTGTTGTTCTGTGCTTGATGTATTACTGACTTTTTTGCAAGCTCAGCTGCTGGAGCACTTTGAGTGTTATGCGCCCACTTCAGTGTCTGCTGAGATCAAGAAGTTCATTTTTGCCTTATCCCTGGAGATAAATCTCTTGTATACAAGTGTGTCTGTGCATACGGTGGTTGCTATGTTGATTAATTCTTGTAATTTCTGCTATTTCCTGCTGTCAGGTGATCTAGATGAAAGGTGCAGTCCTGTATAGTGTCCTTTACTGTGGCGTGCAGACTGAGACAGGATGATGAAGTTCCATGTGGACCTGGGTATCTGGTCAGGTGCAGAACTTGAGCAGTATTTGAGGCAGTGTGCTCTGTGCCTGTGGGTATATCAGAGTTCAGTGTTCAGTCTTGCTGTTCTTCATTGTATACTGTTGCTGAAAGTTTAGGAAATTAATATAGGCAGCACCGCTGCTACTAGTTTGCTTCTCTCTTTCTTATGAAAGACCTTGTTGTCATTTGGATAGGTGGTTCCCAGCCGTTCAGGGGGGCCTTGGCATCCTTGTGGCTGAGCGTTGCAGCTGAATTTTAGTGCTTGGTCTAACAGACACTCTTGATCCATGCTAGCGCTATCAAATGTTAAGGAAGGAGCTTACGGTGGTTTACGAGGAGCTGAACCCAGAAAGACATGAAATGATGCATCTTTATTTTACCTCTTTGTTGTCTTTTCACTCCTAGTGGGAGTCTCAGTTTCTCAAATCATTTTTCATCTTGAGCCGGTTGATGACTCTTGCACCTCTGGATTTACATTTCTTCAAGGAGACAGAGTGCAGGATTCTTGGAGAGACAGTGCCAATGGACTGGGTGTTTGGATTCTGTAATGCTTGAGTCTGATTTCTTAGCCGCTGTTGGGACTGGAAAGAAACTTGTTGACGTAGCAAAAGATAAGCACCAGTCTTTCTTTTGCTGCCACACATCTGAGTTTCTGTATGTGGGAAGGTGAGGCATTGTTCCTTGGAAAGGTGGTATTTGAGATTCTTGAGACTTGGATGCGGCTGCTGGAGAGAGGACAGGTTGCAGAGATTCTCGAAGGAAACTGGCCCTAGGAGGGCTGCCAGCTTTTGGACAGGCTTTGGCAATGGACCTGGTTTTTTTTCCAGCTGGTGAAGAAAACTGTTCTGGTTTCAGCTGCCGCCAGCAACAAAAGCACCACGTACAGAGGGAAACAGGAACAACAACGATACAGATAAGGAGAAAACATGACAAAAACTAACCCGCTCTCTCGGACCGCACCGGCACCGCACGCTCCCCGTCGCGCCGCCACCCCCACCGGAACCCAGCGTGATGTCACAGGGTATGGAACACCGGGCTCTGTTTGGCCAGGTGGGGTCAGCCCCCAGCCCCCAGCTGTGCTCCTTCCTGGAGTCCGGTGAAAATTAACCCTGTCCTGGCCAAACCCAGGACAAAAACTAATGCCATGCTGCAGCTTTTATGATTTTACTTGACCATTCGGAAGATACTCAAAAGAGGGAGCATGTGCTGCCTCTTAACACTTTCATTGGCTCATCTGGGGGCTTCCTGGAGGGAACGAACCCTTGAGATGTGCTTGAACCAGAGGAGGGGCACTGCAGGATGCAGAGGGAATTCAGCCTTTGGCTTGGGTCTGTTGCCTGCAGAACCATCACGTTCTTGCTTGTGGGCTGTAACAGGCAGCTGGCAGCTTGCTGAGTGCCGCCCCAGCCAGCACCACTGCTCGGCCTTTGTGCTGCCGCGGCAGGGGAGCCGGCGCAGCCAGGGCAGCTGTCGACTGCTTTTCTGGCTTTCCTGGGTGGTTAGAGGTGCTGGTTACGTTCCATCTGCCTGTGACCGAGGGATAGGGTTTGCTCTGCGTTCTTTACAGAGCTGTTCTAAAAATAACACGGTCCGTGCAGCTTCCTGGTAGCACCAGAGCCATCCCCTTGTCAGAGCTCTGTCTCTTCAGACCTGCCTGGGGAGGCCCAGGGAAGCGATCACGGCGTCATGGTTGCTGCCGCCCGTTTGGTGGGGGTCAGGTGTTAGAGCCAGGCTTACGCTTGGGGAGGAACGTGCTGCTGGGCCAGGGGAGGGGGGAGGCTGCTCGCTGCCGCCGGCCACAGGTCCTGCCTGCAGTGAGGCTGCAGAGCAAATCCTGGTACGGAGACGCTGGAAAAGCATGGCCAGCCAGAAACAGGTTGGTGCAAATGGGAGCATGGTGCTGTTCTAAGCATGCTGTATTACACAGGTGACAGGAATGGCTGTAGCCTGTTTCTACGGATCTGTGCTGAGGGAAAATCCCATTTCATGGGTGTCTCAAGTACCTGTCTCCCAGGCCCTCTGTCTCTGCAAAATCAGTCCCAAAGACCTCTTGTCCTAACTTTCTGGCTTGAAGTTCGCCAGCAGATCTGTGTGCAGTGAACGGTGAATCTTGCATTCTTTATTTTGTTATGCTCTGGATTAGCAGCAAATCTCTGAGACAACTGCTTTTGTTTCCTCTTTCTATTGGCAAGTATGCTACTTTGCTTCGCCACAGTGCAATGAGAAGTAATGTTCCTCTGTGGCCCAGCTACTGTCTTCTGTAGGTATGTGGTCTCTCTTCTCCAGCTTTTGCCAGGCTGGTCGAGCAGAGCTTTGGTCTTTTTCTCTGGCCTAAACAAGTGGCCAGGGTAACTTTCTAACATATTCGTGCTACTCCTGACCAGGTATACAGCTTTTTATAAGTATCTGGCCTAATGTGCTGCCATTCCTAATCTCTTTTCTTCAGTGTGCAATTTTATTCTGTATTGGTACGCTAATTATTGGGTTTTTTCCAATTTTTTAACCTTTTTTTTGTTGATTATAGGTAACTTCCGTCACTTGTGCCTTAGGCTGTATTTTTCGTAATTGACAGATGATGTGAACTACAGAAAATCTCTCCAAAAGTCTGTGTTCTTTCAGTGATAGATATTCAGATGTTTGAGAGCTATGGAAAAAAAGGTGCATTGGACTATTGGAATAACCTGCCTAAGGGAAATATATCTTCCAAACTTTTTTCCCTTAGAGCTAAGTTGTGCCTTGAAGTAACAGCATTTAAGTGTCTTTCCTCTACTTCCCTTTAATTACTTAACTTCATTTGAAATTCTTCTTGAATTTCCTTAGCTCTGTTTATATGGACAAAGAGCTGCATTAGTATTTCTGCTGTAAATTCTCTGTGGTCGTGGAACTGCTTCCTCTGTCATACTTCAGAAATTCGTGCTAAACTGAGTTCAGTTAACTTCTTCCTTTGTAGTGTATAAGCTACCAAGTCTACCTGGTCTTTCTAGGAAAGAAATGCTTCAGAGTAATACATGATCTCTGGGAACACTGGGTATTTCATTTGAGCCAGTCTTTTGTCATTTCATCAGCATAGTTCATGGGCAGGTTGTTGCCTTTGGTCTGGGTCATAAAAGACCACCAAAAGTTAAAGAAATTAAACCAGTCAGTTTCAAATTACTTGACAAAGCTTGCAAGAAGTTAGGGCAAAGTGAGGAGATTTCCTGTGTTGATGCCCAGGTTGTGAGCGCTTTTCAGGGCAAGGCATGGAAGGCAGCATTTTGAATGTGCCATTTTTAATTCCTCTTGCTCAGTCAGGTTTGTGGAGAAGCTGAAATATTCCCACAACTACTTCTGGTTACAATAGTGCTGACTGCCACATTGCTTCTAAACTGTGAGCTGGTAAGCTTGCAACCATCCATCAGTCACCAGTAGCTGCTTGGTGGCAACGGCTGGCCATGACCCTCGAGAAGGTACAGGGCAGGTGCCAGAACCTGCTTTCATGAGGGTGTAGGATTCCACTTTGCTGAGCATGGGGAGGGATGTGGTACCGTGATTTGGCAGCCTGAGCAAAGCAGGAATTTGCTGTTGCCTTTTCAGTTGTCTGTCTGCATTTTTCCCCTTTTACTCTTCGGCACAAGCTGTTGAATCTCTTCTTGAGCTGAGAATTACCATCAGTGATGTCAGATGGGTTTGGTGTCTTGAGTGATATCTGGTGCCCTGCAATATTGCCTATGAGTCATGGAAATTGTTAACGTTTGGTAAACTTGCCCAGAAATGGGAAAGGATAAGATAAATCCACAGCCACTGGCTGTATTACCAGGGCAGATTTTGAGTAGTTGTCAGTACTTGAGGACTTAATCCCCTAAAGCTCGGAGGCCTTTGAGTAGGCAGCAGGTATGATGAAGGAAGAGAATACAGAGGGATGCGTGGGCACTCAGTGTCAGTAGTTATGGCTTTTACCTTGTCCCTGCAGCGCTGACACAAACCTGCCCTTCTGTTGGCTGAGGGCTTGTTTAAGCTTTTCTGAAGTTAAAGCCTTTTGGCATTCAGCTTTATTAATTGTACGAGGCGTTCTTATACTACTGCCACCCTTAAGATATTCCTTCAAATTTTAGTATAAGAAATAAATGTTCTGCCCTTAATTATCTTCATTCTTTCAGCTTGCTTTAATTATCAAACGTAATAGGCCTGGCCTGCTATTTAGATGTTAGTATCGATGTGTGTGTGTATATATAAAATCAAGTTCTTAAGATAAATATGATAAATGTCTCCTTAATCAAATCTCAGACCTTTCACCCCTCAGTTATACAGGAGGCGAGGAGTGGGAAGGGAATGAGATTGTTCATGCTAAGCTTTATTCTTATGTCTACATGTCCTGTCGCTGTGTTGGTCCTTGTCACGATGCATTGTATTAGGAGCTCAAGTTTAGCTGATTGTTAGCATGACCTACAAGTTCTTCTTGGTACCCACCTCCTACAGAATAGTTTCTTTATAAATACACGCCTTCGTTGTTTTGCATTTCAGTATGATTCACTGGATGCTTTTAGTCTGTACCTAATCAACTGGAGTTAAAAACACGGTCCATTGGAAACTGGGTCTCTTAATTTTATTAGATAGTTTTGTGTTATCATTAGTTATTTCCTATAGCATAGTGTTTTAATTCATTTAAGTTTTGTTGGTGGCAGAACATTTGTGTCAATTCTCATTAGCATAATGCTGTAGCTGAAATTGAGTAAATTTGATCGTGTTAAAAGTAGCTGCCAAGAGGAGGGAATTTTTGAGGAAGCCCTTGTGTTTGGTGAGAAGCTTCCAGCAAATGGATGCTGATGGGGTCCCTAGTGAGAGAAGAGAAGGTGAGACTATTCAGTAGGAAAAGCTGGGAAGCGGTAATATCAGTGGAAGATAAGCCTGGATTTGCGAGCCAAATCTCTGTATTAACTTTTACCTCAAGGGGAGAATTGGATCAGCTGAAAGTGAAGTGATTCTGGGTATGTGACAGATAGATTGTGGGTATGTTGACCTGGACAGGCTGGAGAGTTGGGCAGAGAAGAACCTGATGGAGTTCAACAAGGGCAAGTGCAGGGTCCTGCACCTGGGGAAGAACAACCCCATGGACCAGTACAGGCTGGGGTAGACCTGCTGGAGAGCAGCTCTACAGAGAGGGACCTGGGTATCCTGGTGGACAAGTTGACCATGAGCCAGCAGCGTGCCCTTGTTGCCAAGAAGGCCAGTGGGATCCTGGGATGCATTAAGCAAAGTGTGGCCAGCAGGTTGAGGGAGGTTCTCCTCGCCCTCTACTCTGCCCTAGTGAGGCCCTGTCTGCAGTACTCTGTCCAGTGCTGGGCTCCCCACCTCAAGAAAGATGAGGAGCTACTGGAGAGACTCCAGCGCAGGGCTACGAGGATGAGGAGGGGACTGGAGCATCTCTCCTACGAGGAGAGGCTGAGGGAGCTGGGCTTGTTCAACCTGAAGAAGAGAAGGCTGAGAGGGGACCTTCGAAATGCCTCTAAATATCTGCAGGGTGGGTGTCAGGAGGATGGGGCCAGACTCTTTGCAGTGGTGCCCAGCGACAGGACGAGGGGCAGCGGGCACAAACTGAAGCCTGGGAAGTTCCATCTGAAGATGAGGAAGAACTTTGTCACTTTGAGGGTGACGGTGCACTGGCCCAGGCTGCCCAGAGGGTCTGTGGATTGTCCTTCTCTGGAGATATTCAGGACTCGCCTGGATGTGGTGCTGTGCAGCCTGCTCTGGGTGACCCTGCTTTGGCAGGGGGGTTGGACTGGGTGACCCACAGAGGTCCCTTCCAACCCCTAACATTCTGTGATTCTATGTGGCCAGTTGAAGGTGAATAGTAAGGGTTGATGATTGACAGTAAAAGGTAAATTCTACCCTCTGTCTTCTCTCCTCTAAGTACTTTGAGACAGGAATCCAGTTTTATCCCTGCACGTTGCCTGGTGCCGTAGGACTTTAACCATGACTGTAACTTCTGCATGCCTGTGGAATAGCCTGTAAAAGGTATTACAGAACTGCAAGATGCTGTAGATATTGGAGGAGGGAACCCATATACATATTGGATGCTGCTACATATCTGAGGAGAAACAATATTGTAGTGAACTTTGCTGCTGGTAGTGTTGTTCATCTTATATCTATGTAGGTCTTCTAGCATTAAGTGCTTCCACAGCCCCAGCCGTTCTTATGCTAGGCTTTGAACTCTTGCTTTGTCAGGTCTTCTCCCCTTACCTTGTTCCTAAGAAGTGCTCATTGATGTCTGTAATATTAGGTGTGGATGTACGTGTTCTGGGTTAACTTTTGTATTTATTAACTAAAGAAATTATTGTAGCAGTTTCAATTGTGTAATTCATTCCTAAGTCCATTCTGAACTTGCAGCTTTCCCTTTGTTTCTCTCTGCTTGGATCAGTTTCCTCTCTCGGATTTTGTGTCTTGTCACCTTCAGAAAATTTCTCCAGAAAGTGGTGTCTGAGTTCTTGAGACATTTTTTGTATCCCTTTTGTATGGTTGGAGGCTGTTTTTTCTTTGTGGTTACATGAACTACAGGTATCGTAAAACATAAAAATCTAATGTATTGTTGCAGCTTTTACTATGAAACAGCCTTTGTGCGAAAGAAGTGTTCCCCCAGATATGACATGGGCTTGCTGCTTACGCAGTCTACAATGTGCCCATATTTGGGTAGGTCCCATTCCTGAAATATATGCGCACAGTCCTGTCCTGGAATGCTCATTTAATTAGAAGTTAATGGGCAAAGTTCATAATACTCATATGAAGGAACTCACATCTGTCTCCATCCTTCCCGTACAGGTGAATCAGCGCAATGTCCCAGGCATTGATAGTGCCTACCTGGCCATGGATACAGAGGAGGGCGTGGAAGTTGTTTGGAATGAGGTTCAGTTTTCTGAGCGGAAGAACTTTAAGCTTCAGGAAGTAAGTTGATGTGTTTCCCAACAAGATGCGGGAAACATAGTATGCACACCTTTCATGTGGATTATTGGCTGGATTTGGAGTGCTGTGCTGCTCAAATGTAGCAAATTGAGCTTAAGCCTGGCCTGTGGGGAAGATGTGATGGAGAACTGTTGCTGTGCTATTTCCCTGGCCTCTTGGTGATCAAACCATGCTGATCTGAGGTGCCATATAGGATCAGATCAGGTGCTGTTTGTTCTTAGCCTAGGAACTTGAAGTGTACGGTGTTGTTTAAGAGGACCACAACCCAAGAAGAAAGTAAGATGTGGGCCAGTATCATCTCTGATGTAACATGTCTTTGTCTTTCTGATGTTAAGGAAAAAGTTAAAGCGGTGTTTGACAACTTAATTCAGCTGGAACATCTGAACATTGTGAAGTTTCACAAATACTGGGCTGATGTGAAGGAGAACAAGGCCAGGGTAAGTAAAATGAACAGTATGCTGGGTTTTCTCACTGTATGTCCTGTGGGCAATTAGTGAAGCAGAGAGTGATGTCTCATACTGCCCTGACAGGTGATCTTCATCACTGAATATATGTCTTCAGGGAGCTTGAAACAGTTCCTGAAGAAGACAAAGAAAAACCACAAGACTATGAATGAAAAGGTAACTTTTTTTTTTATGTGTGCCCATTTTCACTTAGTGCCATCAGCCTCTGGAAGCTCTTTTGGCAGAGGATCCTGATGAAAAGATGACCTGGTGATAACATGTGGCTGCAATTCCTTTTTAATGACTGTAAACTAGTTTAGTTTCAGGTTCTCTTGGACAGCTGTTCTGTGCTGTTCGCTTTGTTTCCAGCAGTTCTGAAGCTTCATACATATGGTGTGACAGGCATGTCCCTTTCCATGTGTGCATACAGGAAAGAGGGAAGGTGTCTGTGCATGAGATGAGTTAGGAGGAGAGGTGTGTTTCTTGACCCATACGAATATGTAGAAACTAAACTGAGCATGAGAGTACTGATCCTCTGAAGTTCTTACCTCCTACGCACCTGTACTGGGTACAAGCTGAGATGCCGTGGAATGGAGCATATATTCCTTCATATGAATGTGTTATGAATCAGAACTATGGATTAGTTCCTCTTCTGTGAATAATTTTTATCCTTTTTGCTCCCATGTCTGTAGGCCTGGAAGCGATGGTGTACCCAGATCCTCTCTGCTCTCAGGTATGTGAGTTACTGATCTCGCAGTCTAGCCATCTGTTTAAGAGTAGCCTCTCGTGCTAGAATATTAAAAGCTGTAAAGATACATGCTGCCAAACGTTAGCAAACTTAGTGGAATGGAGCCTGAAGAGCACTTTCAGTCACCCAGCCTAATTCTTATCCCGGTTGTGGTCTGCAGAGTGTCAACTGCACTTCCCATAACAATCCCAGAGTCCTCAGTTAGACAGTATTGAAGCCCCTAAGATAGAGAAACAGGTGAAATGTAGGTTTTGGATCCAAACAGTTGCAACTGATATGATAGTGAGTGTGAGAGCTGAGCATCAGGGAGCTCTCCAGAGTATCTGACTATGGCCAAGAGGGTGTTGCAAAGAAGTCTCAAAGAAATCGGATTCCGTGTGAGAGGAGTGAGGAAAATTTTCTTACTCTTGGCAGGCTGCTGGCCTGTAGCATGCAGTGGCTTAATAATTGTTGTGGTGTGATAGTGTTAGAAGTGTGTGTGGATCTGTGCATTTCTTGATGATGCAGATCTTCTGCAGGCATCTTAGTGCAATTAGTGTTAGAAGTGTGTGTGGATCTGTGCACTTCTTGATGATGCAGATCTTCTGCAGACATCTTAGTGCAACCCAGTTGAATAGAATGTGGGGATTTTTTTGTTTGATTTTAAAGACTCTGCTCTACCTGAGCCAGAGTTGGTATATAGCTAATAGCAGTCCTGGAAAAACAATAATCTGGATGTCAGAGCAAGACTCTCACTCCATGGAGAAAATGTTGCCATTTGGCTAATTACAGCTGTTGATGAGTAGTTTGGGTTGTAATAAGCTTTTGGGAGCTGACAGTCCTTATCTGTGCTGGCTGCTAACATAAAACCAAGCAGTGTGAGGCGCAAAACCAGGTAGCCTCAAATGTACCTGGGACCCCAGCACCAAAAGGTTTTATTTGTGCCTGCTGGATGACATGACCAATCATGTTTGTACAGCACTGAGGGCCTTTTTGATGCCCTGTGAGTAGGGCCAGAATAAGGCTCTGATCTTTTTGGTATAAAGTTGGAGCTGTTTTAGCACCCACTTAGCAGTACTGGAATGGGTGAAATAGTTTCTTTACCCCTGGTACTCTGGGTTTCTTGGGACCTGATCAGAGAATGCTTTTCTTTTTCTCCCCCGTTTTCCAGAGATTGTTTGTTAGAGACAATCTTCACGATTCTTCCCTAGCCTAGAAGCTGATGTACAGTGACTTAATTGTACCTCCCTGCTACTGTAAATGCCTGGCATGTGTCCTTTGCCCTCCTGTTCTCTTCTGATGTTGCTTGAGACAGGGAAGGGATGAAGGGAGGGATTCCTGGGCTCAGCCTCAGTAGTCTCCTGACCAGTGCTCTGTTCTGAATCTCTAGCTACCTCCACTCCTGTGATCCTCCAATCATCCATGGTAACTTGACCTGTGACACCATCTTCATTCAGCACAACGGACTGATCAAAATTGGGTCAGGTAAGGCTTGTTGGAGATGACCCTTGCCTGTGAGGCACACTGCTCAAATAACCTTGCAAGGATTAGATGCCTTTTGCTATCTGGCATGACAGTCATGTCTGTACACTTGTTCCTCCACCTCCACATCAGCGGGGCCGGAGGTTGGTGGTAGAATTCACTTATGGCTGGACTACCTTCAGGTGCAGGAAGGACTCATACTGAATACTGTTTCCCTTGTTAGCCCCTTCTTCAGTTATTGATTCAGGGGCCTGACCTGAGAAATGGTGATGAAACTTTCAAGTTCTGTATGCGTGTTATCCTTGGATTCATTTGCTCTGCAGTCTTTTTCATGTTAAAACACACAGAGTTCTCTTCCCAGTGTTGTGAAGCTTGGAGAGCTGTGTCCACTGAGGCCACATGAGTGCTTCTTGTAGCAACCAACATTTGTAATCAAGGTTATAGACTCTGGCTGCAGCAAGCTGCTTGTCTTGGCATCCTCATCCAGCATCACTCAGTTTGTCCTGGACTTCAGGATGCTAGCTTGCCTTAGGCCTGCTTGGCAAAGACATGCCCTGTTCAGGCACCCACTTGTGCTGAAATGTTTTATTTCATAAGTAGAAAGACTTTCTTTCTGGCGGTGCAGTGCATCCTTGCATGCTCTGGTTTTTTTCACCTTTGCTATTCCTGTGTCCCTCAAAATCTGTCTGCAGTCAGGGTGTGTTATTTTGTACCTTGGTATACCATTTCAAGTGACAGCTTTGCTATCTGTCGTCTGACTTCTGCAAGTATTTTCAAACCTGAGGAGTGTGCACTTGCTGTCCTGTAGGCTTTTGTCTGTGTGAGTTCTTGATGTTGACATTGTACAGGAAAGAATGCTCTGCTTTGCCTGTCATCTAAAAATAGCCTCTTCATAAACTGCAGAGCTCTGTGGCTTTTCTTTCCATCAAAGAACTCTTGTATTGTCTTTTTGTTCCAGAACTGGGGTCTCTCTGCTCACTATAACAAACCTCTGATACATGCTTGTACCCAGGGAGACTGGGTCATGGCAGAAGGAATGCTCAGTTCTCTCTCTGCCTGGAAACTTGGTGACATCTTGCTCTTCATACAAGCTGATGACATCATGGGCTTCACTTTATTATCTTTCCCTGACTTTGTCCGAGTGGGAGGAATTTCCAAGAGTTGTGTGCATCTGATACATGTGTGCTGGCAAACACAACTGGCTCCCTGGCATTCAATTCAGGCCACTTACGGGAAGTCTGTTGTAGACTCAAGCACATAAGAGATCCTTCTCTTTCTAGTTTAGTTTAAAAGTGTTATACAGCTGCAATCTTTCTAATTGGTAGTGAGCACTTTTGTTTGTTGATATCTAGAGCCATGGTGTTTTACCAGAGGTAGGTTCTGTGGATCAGCAAACGAGACATGCTTGAGAGCATTCAGACCCCAAGTAGTGCCGTTGAGAGGCTGTCTAGAAGAAAGGTGGTTCTTTGAGCGTGGGTCACAAACAGTTGCCTCAGAGTTACTCCTTTGCCTGCTCCCTCCAATTCCACAGAGCTTTGCGTCTGTTCAGAATGGTGGGGAGACTGATGTGCTGTTTCAGAGTGGTGGGTGTCTGTGTGCTGTAACAACTGTATCCTTAGCAAGCAGAGGGCACATGCTGGGAGTGTGACTGTGCAGGAGCAGTGCTGAATTGCAGTTGCTCCTGAGCAAACTTTCTTCTTCTCCACAGTTGCAGACTGCCTTGCTCACCTTGTGTTTAGAAGTGAGGTGATTTATCTGGGAGATTCTGGTCCTTTCTTAAATAAAAAAGGAAGTGAGTGCGAGTGGATTTGTAGTCAGAAGAAGAATCCTTCAGATGTGAAAGCTATGGCTCTAGTGCAGCCTGGAATTAAAGTTGCCAGTGTTGCAGAATGTATTCTTATTCCCATAGGGCCCACTCAACTAGGAATATCAAAACTACATCATCAGAACAGCTGGATGTATTTGAGTTTGAGATTCTCTAGTACTGCTGACTGTGTAGTAGCCAGACAGGTTATTTTCAAGTTTGGGCCCTAGAGTGATAGTCACTTTGGGGTCACTGACAATGTTAGACCCATGTTTATTGCTTCATGTAGTTATTTCTTACAGCTGGCTGGTATCTGAAAACTTTCCTCTGTTTACTTAAAAGAAACAGGGCAGTAATTCTCACGGGTTTAAGGGGAACAATGATTTGGTGCACTAAGATCTGCTCTTTGATACGGTCTCCATCCCCAGCACCATTCTGGGCTATGTTCCTGAAAGCTCCTCTTCTCTGTACTTTAAGCAAAAGTGAGTACTTGCTGAATGTGGGTTGATAATCTGGGGGAAGAAAGCTGCTAGTGTGTTCTGCAAAACATCCTATGTCTGCTAGGTGAGGAAGTACTAAAAGAGTAGGGCCTGTCACTTGTGTCACATTGGAAATGGCCAGTACCTGCATGTTCCTGTAACACCTGTTTAGGTGTAGGAGCCGTCCTTTTGCCTGTCACTCCTTGCTGCTAGTTAAGGCTGCAGAAGCACATGCACTAGCAGGACTGACCATTGTTTTTCTTGTTCTTGCATGTAATTCTGGATCAGTCTTTTTCTTTTTTTCCTAGAGCTACCTGTGCACTGCAGGAAGAAAAGAGATTAATTTAGTAGTAGGGTGTTGCTGTTGCTATTGCATTTAGTTTTGGGAAGAGGGATGAAATCTTTATATGCTCTGGGGGTTATCTGTGGAAGAAAAAGGGATTGAGAAAGAGGGAGGATTTCTCATGCTGCTTAAATGCGAAAGCCATCCATAATTCATTAATTTACTAACTTTTTTTTTCAGTGCCATAAAGTGCAGGGTTAATAGATTTAAGGAGGAAAAGTGTCAAATGAGTGGGGAGCTTTGGAGAACTTGTGATGAGGATTGGAGAGACACCTACAGTTCTTAAACTTGCCACTGGTGTTTCCAGAGACTGTAATGTTCCAGCTGCTTTCTGGAGTTCTGGTCAGATGAACACATTCCTTGTGAAAGGTCCAAGTTGTTTTCTCTGTACTCTTCCACAGGATCCACATGCAACGCCGTGTTGCATCTGGGCATATCTGTATTGTCTAACAAGTGGACCTGTGAAGGGAGCATGTTGTGAGATGTTTTACTGTGGCAGGTCGAAGGTACTCTGAGCGTGGAGGAGAACAGTGTGTTTAGACAGGGTGTTCAATACTGCTGCTTGCTTGTGAAGCAATATAGGGAGATGTTTCTTGCAATTCTCATTGGCAATGTAAGAACTAGACACAGGTGGAAAGTAGTGATGGGTTTGAATTGAATATTGGTTTGGGCAACTCTTGGAGTGCCCCAACAGAACTGAGGACTCAAACTGGAGTGTCTTGTAATGTCTTTTGATGCCTGTGAGAGATGGCCATGTATTAGCACGTGCCGAGGGAGACTTCCAGTAGAGCATAGGGGAAGCTTAGTGTTGTGCCAGTATTTTTCCAAATAGTGCCTCCAGGCAATCTGCTGGTGCATATGCTTTCCTGTCTTCAACATACCCAGCCTCTAGGATTCATTATATGTTTGACTGCAGTCTGTCCAGAGTCTATTTGCAGTTCCAGGCCAAGATGCCAGGAGACTTGAGTCTTAGTTGTTATTAACTCTGCTATTAAATTATGTGGCCACGTGTGGAAGTAGGGGTTCTGCTGACAAGATCCATGCCCAGGAGAAGCTGCTGCGAAGCAGAGAAAGGTAGTTGTCTGCTGAAGGGGATGCTAAGGGACTGTAGAGCACTCACATAAAGAACAGCGTTTCTGGCTGCTTAGCCTCAGAGCTGGTGCTAATCTTCTACTTGACCAGAGGTGTCTTGTCTCCCTTGCCCAGTCTGGTTCTCAGTTAGAAACACAGATGTTCCTTGTATAAACTTATTTTAAAAAGGTGGCTGGAGGCAGGACCAGATTCTCAGTCTTGTCCATGTTTTGCCATGATTCTGACCTAGCTGTCTCTATCGATGTTAAGTGCTTGCTGTTTCATCAACTCATTGACTTCTATCTTGTTTTACTTCCCGCTTACGGGCTGCTCTGTTACCAACAGTCTTTCATAGGATATTTGCTAATGGTGAGCAAACTTCTCCGCTCCTGTGATGTGGCTACCACTATATATGTAATGTACATTGTTTGTGTGTGTATAAATATATATTTATATATATATGTGTGTGTATATCTGTATTTGTAACACACACAAACATACACACTGTCTCTAATTTATTTATGCAGTGTTGCCTTGCTGTAAGGCTGGTCTGTAAAACTATTTGGCTTAGGTGCATCCTACTTTGAGGCCTTGTGTTCTGTGCTGGGATGCAAACTGTTCCTTGTGCTCTTAGCCAAAGCCTTACAGAGAGGGAGCACTGCCCTTTGTGAAGTCTCCTGGTCTGTAGTTTTCTTCCTCTCCTTGTTCTTAGAGTGTGCTAGTTCATGGACTCTAGTGCATGCTGGCTCCTGCATGTCAAGCCAAGCAGATGCATTGTTTTGAGCTCCTCCTAGCTGAACTTTCCACATACATTAGGCTCTTTCCTGCTACTGCTCTGCTAGACTTGGCTGGGCACCAAACCTGGACTAGCCTTTGCTTTGTGCTTGGCTATCCAATTGCTTGCTTGTAGTCTTAACTCCTTAGATGTTTTGTTTTTAAGATGAATGCTTCAGTGAATGTGTCTGGCCTCTGATGGCCAGAGAGACATCCTGTCCACATAAGTCCCTGATTGTGAAGTGAGGTTTACTGTTTATGTTTCCCCAGACAAAGCTGTATTTTTGGGGAAGCTCGTGCATGTGAGAAGGGAGTTGGGTTGCCAAGGGCTAGAGGAGGATTTGAGTGCTGCAATTTGTAATCATTTTAAATAGAACGCTGCATTTACATGTAAAATAATTATTTATTTTATTTTTTGCCACCAAGGTTGTTTTTGATGGTTAGAGTTTGTTTGTACTGAGTTGGGAACCTACCAACTGTCAGCTGGAAGTGGTGTAAAGGGAAAGGCCTGTCCAAATGAGTTCTGTGCCTT